AGGAGAACCCAGCTCAGTGAACCTCTGCATGTAGTGTCCTGAGGAGCACCCCCTCGCGCCTTATCGCGTCCCGAGGAGCACCCCACATGGTGATCTCCTAGACGGGGCTCCAGTGCCCGACAAGATGGCGGATTCATAGCTAAACGCTGCTGCTTCACCGAGGGAAAATCCAGCAGCGCTTTTCGGCTAAACAAATAGCCATATCTCTGCCAGGAGGAAAACAACGACAGATGAGTGGAAATTAAATCTTTTTCGTGCACAATTTGGCCTGCGTGCCATGTCGGCCATAACCTAATGCATATCGGCCATAACCATATTGCCTCGCCTTTGTCATGGCCGATCGAGCCTAACCTAATTTTTACTCGTTCAATCTTAACCTCAGAAAAGAGATACATTCAACCTCGTGGAAATAACTTGCAATTATCCAACAAAAATCAAGAAGCTGAAAGATAAATTACTTAAATATAAAGCTAATTAATTAATTTAAATATTGAAAAAAAATGAAGAAGATGCAACGCCTTAAGGCAAATGGAAATAATTAGTTTATAGATTTTTTTTTATTGTTTAAATTTAAATTTAACATTTTCTTAATCTTATTTAAATCGAGAATGAGATTTCGGTGTTGGCTATAAAAGCAAATAATCAAGGCTTGAGTGGAAATGCATGAGAATTTAATTATTTTTAAAAACCTTTACAAAATATTACCAAAAAATGGTTTTCAGTGTAAGCCACGCCGGAGATCGATCTTCATCGTTGGATACAAATGAGTGAGTTACATCATGCGTATACATTATTATGTATTTATTTCAATTCTTGCCAAACTAAAAGCCAAATATAACCTCTCCGAATACTCTTTCTACACTGAGAATTAAATATTACTGAAAATACTTTAAAGTTTGAATCTTAAAATTTATTAAATGATTTTTGAATTAAAATCTAGCCATACATTAAACTCTTAATAGAATTTACAATTAGTAAATTAAATTAAAATGGAAGAAGACCATGAAATATTTCTGAATTTAAAACTTAAGTATATAAATACACTTAAAGAAATATTTTCTGAATTTAAACTTAAATAGTTAACTACACTTAAAGAAATATTTTCTGGATTTAATTTAAAATATTCAACTACATTTAATTAAATATTTTCTGAATTAAATCTTGAACATTTAACTACACTTAAAGATATATTTTCTGGATTTTATATAAATTTTTCAACTACATTTAATTAAATATTTTCTGAATTAAAACATAAATATTTAACTACACTTAAAGAAATATTTTCTAAATTTAAAATTTAAATATTTAACTACACTTAAAGAAATTTCTTCTTATCCTAACTTTAAATATTATTCTACTTCACTACTATTTAAATTTACTTTGTTTTATAAATATAACTTCTATCATCGAAACATCATTATGTTTATATATCAATATTTTCTTATTATAAAGAAAGCCGCTAATTAAAGCTATGAATAACTAAAACCATATATTTTTGAACTCTGCTGAGGTACCCGCGTTCGTAGGGTATTAAAGGGGTCACCGGAGACATGCTCCAAGGAAGGGTATCATAGGTTGGGATGGCAAAATGCGACCACAACAACACCAGTGACTTCGCGATCTCTGACTTCCTCTCTAGCTTTTCTATCTCTTTACTTCCTTCCAGAATTTATCTGTTTTCTCTTCCGGATTCGTTTAACTTATTCTCTCTTGTCGCTAGCTTGCTCAATTCTAGTCTTAGCAATAATAATGTGTAGTTAGTGTTAGAATCTGTACGCGCAAGACCACCACCCCCAAATCCGACGAGCGAGAGCCCGATCCTATAGCGAGCACCCGTAACTACAGATTCCACCGGAAACAAAACACTTCTCCCAGTCGTTACACGCTACAGAACTATGCGTGCGCCTGTCTCTTCCCACCCCAACACCAACCTAAGTAATTCGTTACAATTATAATTAATCAATAAATAACATTATTATAATCTGGCGCCCATCTTCAGGCCCAATTTAGGCCATGATATTATCAATACATCCACAGCTCAACAATTAAATAGTTTACAGAGTAGCAAACATATATATCAGTGGGCTTTTGGAATTTCAGCTGACTGCCTGAACCAGAAGCAACGGTTGCTGAGCACATATATAAATAAAATTTTGCAAAAAAAAAAAAATAATAACAAACTCACTCGCTAAAAGGCCAAAGACAGTGTTTAAGCTTTCTGATCAAAGTATCTTAAGCTTGGAGCATCACAAGCGAAACTCTCTATATCTTAGATCGGAAAAGCGCATTGTAAAGATGGATGGGCAGGACAAAACCCCAAATTGCAATCTTTGTGGGAAAGATTTATGCACTGGAGTTACGTACAAAACCAAATGTGGACACGAGTTCCACAAGTCCTGTATAGCGGCTGACTCGAAAGCGATAGCAACCTGTCCACCTGTCTCAGAAGCTGCCTCGATTAATGAGGCTTCAGTCAGCACAGAAGCAAAAGGGACAATAGTTGCTCAGGGATCCGACTCCAGATCTCATTGTGCATAATGTAGAGCGGCGAGGATCAATAATGTCCGATGCGGCGGAGACTCACAGAAATGACTTAATGCAGAGGCCGGATAAAGTCGGCCACATCATGAACGGGTGGAAATTAAAATTTAATGGCAGCGCGGACGGAATTAGTGTTGATAACTTCATTTATAGAGTTGAATAACTTACCCACCAAACTCTGGAGAGTAGATTCGAATTAGTATGCAACAACGCAAGCATTCTTTTCGATGGCAAGGCCCGTGAATTTTTCTGGAGGTTCCACAAGGCAAAAAGGCAGGTTCACTGGGGTACTCTATGTGAGGCATTGCGAAAGCAATTTCGCGACACTAGGACTGATGTGGATATAATTGAAGCCATTCGGGATCGAAAACAAAGGGAAAAGGAATCCTTTGATTCATTTTATGACTCGATTGTCCAGTTAATGGATACCCTAGAGTCCCCACTGTCAGAAAGGACTATAGTGGACATTTTAAAAAGGAATTTAAGGCCTAAAATCCGTCACGAAATATTAAATGTGACTATAGAAACGGTAGACAGCATCCGGGAGATATGCAGGCGTAGGGAAGCATTCTTGCAAGATGTAAAGCGGACTCACGGGTATCAGAAAGGAGCACCTTTTCGCCAACAGGTGGCAGAATTGCTTGAGGAAGCGTTGTCAGATGAGGCTTCCGAGTTTTCTGATCAAGAAGGAGACCTTGTAATCGGCGCTTTGGCATTAGTGTGTTGGAATTGCCACAAAAAGGGACATAGGTATCAGGACTGCGAAAGCAAGAGAAAAATCTTTTGCTGGCTGTGGTTCTCTAAACGTATACAAGCCTTCTTGTGGTAAATGTCAAAAAAACGGGAAGTCGAACACACAGTCCCGTCAGCCACCGTGTGTTCCACGTCGCCGGCCGACGATCAATCAGGAAGCAAGCGGATATAGCAAATTGCTAACGTTTCATTGGTCAAAAATCCGTTTTCGTCCGATTGTATGTCTAGTCAACCAAGGATTAAGGACTGTAGTGCAGTATAATCAAGAAGTCAGAGGGCTCGATTTGCACATCATTCCATCCCTTAGCCAAGACCTGTACCTTGGGATAGATTTTTGGACATAGATTTTTGTTACCGCTTGAAATGTTGATTTCTATAATCGCCGTTGTCTCGAATGACCAGTCGCCTAGCCAAAAAGAAGAATTGCAGAATTGTCTGGGCTAGGAACAACGTCGCTTTTGTCGCACTCTATAGATGTTGGGGATGCTAAGCCAGTTAAGCAAAGGCATTTTCCCGTGTCACCGGCAGTAGAAAGATTATTGTATGCGGAGGTAGACAGAATGCTCAAGCTTGGGGTAATTGAAGAATCGGATAGTACATGGTCATCACCCGTTGTTTTGGTTCAGAAACCGGGAAAATTAAGATTGTGTCTGGATAGTAGGAAAGTTAATGCAGTGACTAGGAAGGATGCGTATCCCCAGCCGCAAATAGATGGAATTTTTGGTAGACTTCCAAAGGCTATGTACACATCTAGTTTAGACCTGAATGATGCTTATTGGCAGATACCGCTAGATCCAAAGTCTCGTGAAATGACAGCATTTACAATACCGGGAAAGCCTTTATACCAGTATAATGTCATGCCATTTGGGTTAACGAATGCCTCCCAAACTATGACGAGATTAATGGACAAGGTTATCCCGGCCGAGCTTCGGAATGAGGTTTTCGTATATTTAGATGACTTGTTAATTGTGTCTGACAGCTTCGAATCACATTTGAGGGTTTTGCAAACAGTAGCAAACCAAGTGAGAGCTGCGGGTCTCACTCTAAACGTGGAGAAGAGTAAATTTTGTAGGCGCTCGGTAAAATATCTGCGGCATATTGTTGGAGAGGGGGTGATCCGTACAGATCCGGATAAGATAGCGGCTATAGTCGATTTCCCACTGCCCAAAACTCTTAAAGCATTAGGAAGATTCCTGGGGATGGCTGGTTGGTACCGAAAATTTATTGTCAATTTCGCTTCTGTAGCCTCTCCGCTCACAGATTTAATAAAGCCCAAACAAAAGTTTGCCATGACTCCTGAAGGCCAGCAAGCATTCGAAAAACTAAAGGAAATGCTATGTGTCGCTCCAGTACTTCGCAGTCCTGACTTCAGCAAGCCATTTTTTATTCATTGCGATGCAAGTCAAATCGGTGTTGGCGGTGTGTTGGTACAGAAGACAGACGAGGTTGATGAGCATCCCTTAGCTTTTGTATCAGTCACTGAACAAGAACTATTGGCTGTGATGGTGTGCATAAAACGATTCAGGGCTTATGTAGAAGGGCATGAATTCACGGTCATAACTGATCATGCATCCTTGAAATGGCTTATGACACAGACCGATTTGCATTCACGTTTGGCAAGATGGGCTCTAAAATTGCAATGCTTCAGCTTTAAGATTGAGCATAGAAGTGGCAAATTAAACGTTGTACCGGATGCTCTTTCCAGGATGAATGAGGATAGCGTGGCGGCCACAGAAGCTAGTCAAGGTCTTCTGGTCGACTTGGAGTCGCCAGCTTTCAGGTCAAGTGATTATGTGTCGTTGATGGAGCGAATAAGGGCAAATGAGGATAAACTATCGGATCTCAAGGTTATATAGAAAAACCCAACATGCTACGGGTGAAGTTTTACACGACAACTATATATGGAAACTATGGGTTCCTCAAGATTTGGTACCGGAAGTGTTAAACAAAGCACACGATCAGCCCTTAGCATCGCACGGAGGCATCCACAAAACGTTGGAGCGGGTGCGTAAATATTATTACTGGCCAAGTTTGGTTAAAGACGTGAAGGTCCATGTGCTGGCTTGCGAGACTAAGGCTGCGATTAAGATTCAGCGACCGCCTATGGGAGTACCAGCAGAATCGCAAAGATTTTTCCAGAAGTTGTATATTGATTTTTTGGGTCCGTAGCCCAGGTCGAAAAGTGGGCACATCGGCATTTTTATTGTTCTAGACCACTATTCTAAATTTGTGTTTTTGAAAGCCGTGAAGAAACTGACGGCGGATGTGGTAATAAAATATCTTCAGGAAGATTTGTTCCTCACGTTTGGAGTTCCGGAGACCATAATCTCGGACAACGGATCCCAATTCAAGGCGGAGATTTTTCAAAAGTTTCTCAGAGTTAACAAGATATTGCACACTCTGACCGCGGTATATTCTCCTCAAGCTAACGCCTGAGAAAGAGTTAATCGTTTGGTAATCGCAGCAATACGCTCATTTGTGAAGCCTGATCAGAAGAACTGGGACGAACAGCTCAGTAGCATTTGTTGCGCTTTACGGACGGCAGTGATTTCCAGTATAGGAACTTCTCCGTATTTTTTTTTTGTTTTTTTTTTTTTTTTTCGCGCGGAGTCCCACGGCCCACTTACCCGCCCAACCGACCGAGGGGCGCAGTCGTGTATCGTACGGCACGATTCGCGATAGGATAGACGCGAGATAGGAAAATAAAGGTAAAGGTCCGGGGAAAAAGTAATAGTTAGATCAATCTTGTGCCAATGAAGCAAGTATTAATCGTTTTAGGAGCGGCAGAGAGTCAAGATTTGATATTACAGGAAAAAGTCTATTATAGTCAGAACATAATACTCTGAAAGGCTCATGCAAGGCATAGTTAGATCTACAATGATTTAAAATTAGGGGAATATAATTTCTAGTTAATCTACTTGGCACAGAAAAGTTTAGCCGACTTAACAAGTCGGGGCAGTCAATATCACCATGTATAAGGTTATAAATAAAGATAGTACCAAGCATCGTTCTACGGTTGGCTAGGGATGGTAAATTAATCAAAAGAAGTCTACTAGAATAAGAAGGTAAGATAAGATTTGCATCCCAGTTTAGGCGCCGTAAAGCAAAAAGAAGGAAGTTTTTTTGTACAGATTCAATACGACCAATATGTATTCCGTATTGTGGACTCCAGACGGGAGACCCATACTCCAGAATCGGACGGACTAGCGAAATAAATAAAGTTTTAGTCAAATAAGGATCATCGAATTCTTTTGACCACCTTTTAATAAATCCAAGCACTCCTCTGGCTTTATTAACCATGGACGAAATGTGATTAGAAAATTTTAGTTTAGGGTCCAAGAGAACGCCAAGATCGTTTACAAGAGTTATTCTATCCAAAGAGCTGCCACTTAACGTGTAAGTCGCGTATATCGGATTGGCCCGATAAAAAGTCATCAGCTTGCACTTGGAGCCGTTTAAATTTAGTAAATTATCTCGGCACCAGTTTTGAAAATTATCTAGATCGGATTGCAAGTCTAAATGGCAGGAAATGTCCTTATACTGCAGGCACAACTTAACATCATCTGCGTACATAAGTACGCGAGAATGACTTATAATTGAGGGAAGATCGTTAATAAATAATGTAAAAAGTAACGGACCCAGATGGCTCCCTTGTGGGACACCGGAGGTAACACGGAGAATTTCAGAAATTGAATTTTTAAAAAGGACCCTTTGTGACCTGCCATTTAGATAACTTGAAATCCATTTAAGCAGATCAACTGGAAAACCTAAAAGGTCAAGTTTATGAATAAGAAGTAAGTGATTTACAGAGTCAAATGCTTTACTAAAGTCAGTGTAAATGACATCTGTTTGAAAACTACTATTGAAGCCTTTTATCACAAATGTAGTGAGCTCTAGAAGGTTTGTAATTGTGGATCTACGTTTAATAAATCCGTGTTGACACGGAGAAATAATTGATCTGCAAAAGTGCTGCAAATGAGGAGTAATAATTTTTTCAAAAAGCTTAGGAATAGCTGACAACTTAGAAATACCTCTGTAGTTACTGGCTTCTAACTTGTTACCTTTTTTGAAAAGAGGAATAACAAATGATTCCTTCCAAATATTTGGGAATTGGGACGTTTCTAGAGATAAGGTAAACAACTTGTGAAGAGGTTTGCACAGGGCCTTAGCGCAATACCTAAGCACGCACCCAGGAATACCATCGGGCCCTGGCGAATAAACAGGCTTAATACGAAGAAGATCCAAAAGAAGAGAGCTTTCTGTTAAAGTGGGACAGAATATGAGATTTGACTTGGGCATGGTGTAAGAATAAGGCTGAGATGAATAATCTAAAGTAGAGTAAGTCGTTTGAAAAAATTGGGCAAATATATCGGCTATTGCCTGATCTGTGGTTCCCGTCATGTTTTCGAACGACAGCGAGGAAGGATAAGAATTAGATTTACGCTTGGTGTTAACAAAATTATAAAACTGTTTCGGGTCCTGAGAGAACTGGACCTTACAACGGTTTAAGTAACTATTATAACACTGAGCATTAAGCACGGTAAATCTTGACCGAGCACTTAGATATCTAGTAAAAACAGATTGAGAACCGGTATTTTTATATTTCCTAAAAAGTCTGGACTTTACATTTCTTAAGTGTGTCAACTCTTTGCTAAACCAAGGTGATTTATTGGAAGTTGACGGATAGTACCACGGAACACAGGAATTAAAAAATGAGTTTATTGCAGTATAAAAAACATTAACTGCATCGGACATATTATTGCATAAGTAAAGATCAGACCAATTAAAGCCAGAAATAAAATTATTAAGCCTCAGAAAGTCTGCCTTGCGAAAACAATGTATTCGTTTGGATTTTTCTGATTTTTCTTCTATAACTCTACCCGTATCAAATGAAAGTTCGATTGTTGGGTGATATGGATCTTCAGGTTGCGTGAGTGGTGCTACTCTGGACAGAAACACACCTTCAGGATTCGATACAAAACACAAATCAAGTAGGCGACCTAATGAATTTCGAACATGGTTTACTTGAGATAGAGATATGTCAAGCAGGCCATCAATAAAATCATGTTGTGCTATAGGTAGTAAGACATTCGATCCATCCTCAGTGGACCAAGTAACTCCAGGTATATTAAAATCACCTAGAACTATCAACTGATCCCTATCGGAAAGCTTATTTGCAACGGACTTAATAACGGATAGGTGATTTAAATAATCAGGAAGTTCAGACAACGGCGGAATATAAGAGCAAGTTATGTATATAAAGTTACCAGGAAGCGATAACTTTACACAAATAAATTCAATGGTATTGAATTCATCAAAAAATAACTCCTCAGACGGGAAGTTTGAATCAACTCCAATTAAGACTCCACCTCCCCGTCTAGAGGGACGGTCATACCTATATATTGTGTACTTACCTGGAAAAACTTCGGAGCTAAAGATCTCCGGCTTTAACCAGGTTTCTGTGAACACAATAATATGAGATGCAAAGGAAAGGCTATCAGAATACAATTTAGTGAGTTTGCTACGCAAACCTCTTGCATTCTGATAGGAAAGAAGGAGGTTAGAAGTTAGTTTTTTGAAATTGGTACACTGGTTTGGCCTCGACTAGGAAGTTTTACTCCTACGGGCCCCTTCTTCTTTATCTTGGCCTCGAACTCTTTTACAACCATATTATCCGGCCAAAAGTCGCCCGAGCATATGGCTTCAAAAAGCTCGTTAGGGACAGTTATCTTGAAAGATGAAATGTCTCTAGCATAAGAAAACTTAAACTTTTCCACCTTTACATTATTACAATCGGCTTTAGTTTTGTCTTGTATATAAGACAATACATCAGAAGATGTTTGATCAGGGGAAAGCCGAGAAACGAAAATTTGTTTCTTTAGTGGAACCACTAAAAGGGATTTTGGTGGAGCAGACATTGTTTCTGCAAAACCAACTTGAGCCGGTTGTCCGGACTCAGTAGTCCCTTGTGGTGGTGATACTACATTCTGAGAGATAGGTGGATCCACTAATTGCGAAACCACTACGGACAAATCGGAATTCTTAGAAGTCCCTGGTTGCATGCATTCTGTAACGGATTGTTCGGATACCGAATCTTTTTTAGCTGCTGATCTTAGCAACATTTGAGGGTTTGCTGAAATCAGCTGCTGATCCGCCGGAATGCTCTGTTGTTCTTTTGATTTCGGTTGCGGGGTGTTCCCCTTTTGCTCCTTACCACCAGCGGCCTTTTTGCGCTTAGGGGACTCTTCTAATAGCTTACGACTATTAAACTGCGAGTCCAGCGCAGATAGGAGATCATCAGCTCGGCGAAAACTATCTCTAGCCACTCCGAAACAGCTAATCAGTCCCATCAGGCCGCCTTTAGTTTGGCGCATGAACGATTTCATCTCGTTCGCAACCTCGACACAAGCGTCACAACAAAACTGCAAATTGGGCCCCTTTGAAAGGTCATCACTTGTCCGGCCAGTAAAACCGGCGCACTTGGTGTGCACCATATTTTCACACAGCCAGCAAGTCATATTAGACTGGTCAGCCCTGATTACGAGGCTGCATTTTTTGCAGAAGCAGACTAAATTTTTATTATTCATTTTATTTATTTACCACTGTACCAAGAAAGCGAAATCGAAATTTATAAACGAGCAGTTATAAGTACCGCAAGAGCGCAGAAACTGCACGCTTAGAACTTTCAAAAGCAAAGAGAGCAAGAGAGCGGGAGCGTAAATAAGTTAAAGTGCATGCACAAAAGAGAAACAGCGTGGATATAAATAGGATAGAAAACACAGATAAGAATTACGAAAAACTAAAACAATTTATTAGTATCAATACAAAGTGCACTCGCGAAGCGAACGGAGTTTAAATTTATGTTTAAATAACCGAAAGAAAATTTAATGTTGTTTTTATAAAACCCACCGATGGGAATAAACGAAAACAAAATACAAAATTCGAAGCGCAGAAAAAAAACACGACCGTTCACTTTGAAAGTCAAAGACGAATATTATATGGTGTTTGGACATCAGTTTGTCGGCTCAGGAGCTACATACAAGTTATTAAGAGTTTTTCGCCTGTTAGACGACAGATCGACAAGCATTGAAGAAGAAAAGGAGATTCATTGGATCTGGTAAGAAGCAAGGCTTTGGAGGTGATGGCGAAGCAACGAGACAAAAATGAGCGGGCTTACAATTTGAGGTCGCGAGATGGGATTTATGCCGAGGGACAGGAAGTGTTCAGGAAAAATTTCAAGCAGAGCAATTTTCAGGCAGGGTATAACGCTAAACTTGGTCCAGCTTACTTGAAGGCGCGGATAAGGGAAAAGATAGGTAATTCCTATTACGATCTTGAGGATTTGCAGGGTCGCTCTGTGGGTCGCTACCATGCGAAAGATCTCAAGCAATAGCTGTGCCAAGCTTTGGTGGTATCAGTCTTGGGGGTCAGACCTTTTGTAACGTGGGGGGTTTTTTGTAACGCTTGTCCCAGCAAAACAAGCTGAGAGTCCCGCCCCGGTCAAATTAGATAGATTACTTAACAGGGCCGAATGTCAGGCTTTCTCCGGAGGGAAAATTCACCTTTGGGAGAGCGACATGGGTTCCCGCTTAATTCGGGGCGTCCATTCGTTCTGTTCCCTTTTGGCGGCCGGAGGATCCAGTCAATTTAGCTCAGCGATTTAAAAGATTATATCGAGTGTTAAGAAAAGCTTGCGTTTAAATAAAAGTCTGGCTAAAAGCCAATAAATTCGCGGGTGCTAGAATTCGGATCCCTCAGCTGGCCCGGGAAGTGAATTTTTTGTATCCTTTGTGTTGCCGAGCCCTCAGATAAGGTAAGACATCTATAGTTTTTCTGCACATATATACGTAACAAAAGAAGCAAAAAAAAAAAAGAATTTAAGTAATTTAAGATTAGTATAGTTTTTTTGGTTTAATTTTTATGTAAACTAAGTGAAAGTGCGAGAGAAGTTCTTGGAAAGAAAAAGAGAAAAGTAATAGACCGTCAAAGAAGAAAGATGCGCACGGATCTAGGCGAATTTTAAAAGAAAAATTTGGTGTTAACAATATATTTAGAGAATCTTTTTTGTGTATAAAGTTTTAACTTCCACTGCTTCGATCTCCACGGCCAAACATTTTCTCCGTTGGACATCTATGAATATTTCGGGTGAGTGACTTGGTGGCTTAGGCTCCGAATTATTATTTTCTTTATCTAAATGTCTAAACTAAAGGAAAAATGCACACAAAAAAAAGTTCATCTAAACGCCTAATCCCAAAAATCTAAATTAAAACGAAACAGATTAAAAATCAAAAGAAACGACAGTAACAAAACTTTCCGATCTTTCTCTAAAGATCTGTTGCTAAATGTCCCTTGCTTGACGAAACATAACGCCGATTTTCAATTCTCTTTTGTCCCACAAAAAAAAAGTTATGTCCAATTTAATCTCTTTTATATTTATTATTTCTTTGTTATACACATAAACCCATTGCATGCACATTGTATTTCACTATATTCTTAACATTATGTTTAGTTTAAACAATTTTATTAGTCATTAAGGAATAAAATAATTATAATGTTTTAATCTCAAGTAGTTTTGCCTTCGGCTAGTGCGATCTTCCCGTAAAACCCAAAGGGGCCATTCACCAAAAAAATCGAAATTCCATTTGACTATGGGAATGCAAAGAATGGCCAAGACAGGTAGGGGCATCAATAATCTCAACAACAGCTGGGGTAAATAGTTGTCCGATCGTGCATGTCCAATAGACTGGTTTCAATGTGTTTGTGTTGTGTTGTGGTCCTCCCGATTTAGCTCGTCGTAGCACGCAAAAATATCGAATATAATAATGGAAAAATTAGGTACCTCAGAAAATGGACGGCCAAGATACCACCCCATTAGCCGGAGAACTATGCGTGCGCCTGTCTCTTCCCACCCCCAACCTAAGACTCGACGCTACTGTGACCGAGTACAATTTGTTGCATCGCGTCGAAACAAAAGCAACGTCCTCAGATGAATACTGGGCTACAATCGACGAACAAACCGATGCTGGTGATAAAAAAATATTTGACAATGTATCCAAAATAAGCAATGTCCATTCTGTGCTTGCCATTTTCAAATGCATCTGTTGAACGAGCATATTCGGTTTTTGACATTGTTGAAGATGAATTGCGAAACAGAATCGCAACCAAAACCGCCGATGCTCTTCTTCGAATAAGATTAACCTTACCAAACAAATGCAATATCTTTGAACCATCCCCTCAAATGTATAAGCTATTCAATAGCGAGGAAGTGTACAAGACCAATTTCTCAAATGAAGTTCTCGAGGTGATCTCTTAAAATTCGATCTCGTTTTGTAGTATAAAGAATATTCATATATTTCAAAATATAATAAAAAATATATGTTAAATAACAAATTACTATACACAGATTTTTCCAATCTTAACATTACTACAACGTCATATTGAGATATTTCTTATTTTATTGTATGTTCGAAATTAACAGATTTTTTGAATTTAGGGGGAAAACTGGATTTTTTAGGGGGAAATATCGCCTGTTTGAGATTTTTTAGGGGGAAAGCAAAATTTTCATCTGGCAACACTGGAGTACGCTAGCGTAAAGCCTAGTATCCTGATCGACGAAAACCGAACGCCAGTCATGAGAGAGAGCGAGAGGCAAACAGCTGGCGTTCACTTTTCGTGAAGCTTTTTTTTGACTTAGGTCTCCAGTTCGACGAAAAAAATACCAGAAAATTTCATCGCGTTGCCAACCACCTGAAATGAACTTTGGGTGAGCCCTAGCAAAAAGAATAAAAAATTTAGTCTTTCGGCGTGCGCTTCTCATCGGAAATTTTAAAAAATGGAGGGAAAACATCAGAAAACTCGGGAAAGTCGGTTGTTGGAGTTCAACAGTGAAGAAAAAAAAGCATTAATTCGATGCGTGGAGTCGCGCCCAGAATTGTGGGATCTGTCCAATAAAAAGCATTTTAATGCAACATTTATAAAAAGATCGTGGGAGGAAATAGCCTGGGAAATGGACAAAGATGGTAAGTTACAATTGTACATTATTAAATATTTGTTAACGTGGACATATACAATATTTATGTTTAGATAATAGTTGCAAGCTGGCGTGGAAGTCTCTACGGGACAGCTACAAGTACCACAAGTGCAAGCAGCCAAAGAGTGGAAGTGCTGGAGGAGACCCACTGGAGAAGCCAACAGGTGCTGCGGAGTGGGATTTCGCCCCCTACATGAGCTTCCTGCCGGACTTATCCACGCAGAGGCAGTAGGTTCTGGCCAACAATTTTTTTACATTATACTAATATAATTTATTTTTAACAGAACAACCCATTCTGTGTTTTCGGAGAGCGACGGAGCACAAGCAATGGACTACTCCATTGAGGAAACTCAAGACCCTGTTGAAGTTGGCTTTTTGGAAGCGGAGGCGGAGCTGGAGGTCGAGCTGTCTGAGGCCCAAAAGGAACTGTATTCCTATGTAAGTTGTCCAATTTCTATTAAATAATATAATTTCTTATGAAATATTCCTATACTTTCAAAGGGTGGCGGAAGAAGGAGCGCCAAGAAGCGAAAGGTGGAGGAAACACCAGCAGCCAAAATGTGCGACATGCTGGGCAACTTTCTGGAGCAGCAACAAAAGGCTCCCCTTCCCACTCCTCCAAGGCCGGTATATGCCTACTGGGAGTCGATTCTTAGCACGCTTCCTCCGGAACGTGCTGCCGAAGTCGAAAGGAAGATGACCCGGCTTCTGTGGGAGGAGAAAGACGCCAGTTAACAATTCAATAAAAATAAAAAATATTTAACATTGCAAAATAACTTTTATTGTTTTTTTAATTTCTTTGCACACCGGCAGACTCGTCTTGCCAAGGTACACTTCCAGCACTTCCGTTTAAATATTCTTTAAGGTTGTTTCAAACCTCCTTACTGAAGTCTTGTCGGCGACCTCGTCGGCAGGGTCGCAAGTCGGTCAGGACAGTGCTTGCATCAAAAAATTATGCAAGGCACAACAGGCTACAATGATTTTTTGAGCTTTGCATGGATTGCTTAACAAAGTTCGTTGTACAGCCATCCACCTAGCGCTGAGAATCCCAAATGCGTTCTCAATGCAACGACGAGCCCGACTTAGCCTGTAGTTAAAAATCCGCTCCTCCCTATGCAGATCCTTGCCACTATACGGCTTCATGATGCGCTTATGAAGGGGGAATGCATCATCTCCAACAATGTAATAAGGGGTTCGATGGCCGTTTATAACATTGTCCTCCGGAAAGGGCAGCTGGTCTAAGAGCAACTGTTTGCCAAGAGCGCTGTGGGAGAAGGCATTCATGTCTCCTTCGCTACCAAAAGCCCCCACATCAATGTAGGTGAAGCGATAGTGAGCGTTGCAGATTGCCATAAGCACAATCGAATGAAAGCCCTACATTACAAACGATTTTGTTATTAAATTCTATTGGCATTTAAAAAGTACTTACCTTATAATTGTAAAAAAGGCTTCCACTATTTGGCGGGCCTTTTATCGCCACATGCTTTCCGTCGACTGCTCCAATACAATTAGGAAAGTTCCATTCGTCTTCGAAGTCTTTAACCCACATCAGCATATTCCCCGTTGTCCACTTGGGGAGTTCATCCCGCAAAGCAGTCCAAATGGCAATAGACACCTGGAGGAGAATCACTCCAAAATGTTGCTTACTGATCCGATAAGTTGATCCAATGTGGCGTTGCAGGTCTCCAGAGGCAAGAAATCTAAATAAAAGGATACAAAATATAAATATATTGTTATCTAAGACTAAATATTTAAAATCTAATTACTCTAAAACGATGGCCAACTTGGCTTTTATTGGTATAGCATCTGGGCGAGTGTTCCGTTTCGGTATAATCTTTCCAGTGTGACCAACATTTTGAGAGTTCATCAGATTTAAGCGTGCTACGGTCGTACTGTCAATCAGCTGGGTTTGTTGACAAGCAGTTAAAATTCAAATATCGTATTTGCGGGAAAGAGCCTTTAAGATATTATCAAATACCTTGGCAAGACAAGTCTGCCGGTGTACAAAGAAATTAAAAAACAACACAATTTAAATTTAACAGTTATTTTTTTTAATTTACTGATAATTATTTGCTAATTTAAAGTTCATAGCTGCACTTTTATTGTGTACGAAAAATCGTACATTCTGGACCTAAAAAACATTTTGCTCTGACAAGAGGCACCCCAGATAGTATTAATGTTATTTTGTCCTCACATGTAAACACCTGCAATCGACTTTTGTGAGTTTTGTGAGTTTTTCCCTCCATTTCTTATAATGTTCAGTGAGAAGCGCACGCCGAAAGATTAAATTTTTTAATCTTTTCGCTAGGGTTCACCCAAAGTTTATTTCCGCAGACTGGCAACGCTATGGAATTTTCTGGTATTTTTTTCGTCGATCAGGAGACCGAAGTGAAAAAAAGGCCCGACGAAAAGTGAACGCCAGCTGTTTGCCTCTCGCTCTCTCTCATGACTGGCGTACGGTTTTCGTCGATCAGGATACTAGGCTTAAGAGTTAAAATCTATATAAAGGTTTCATTTGCTCTGCCCGGGCATAGAGTAAGAAACTATATAAAAGGTTTCATTTGCTCTGCCCGCGCTCTCGAGTGACTTTGCCAGTGATGCCACGTAGGGGAAAAACGGAAAAAAAGAGAGTTTTTCATTTGTTCGAATCGAGCTTGAATCGATGCCCATGGTGAATTCTTATTGCTGCACTGCTCGCTCTTATTCCTAAGGATTGATGCGAGAACTCCCCACACTATTGCTTGTGCCTCGCACATGTTGGGTGTGGTGAAAAACCGAAGTTGGCTTCGAACATGGCTCTCAGCAGAGCTTTGGCAGAGGCCCTGGCAGAGCAAATGAAACCTCTATATAGATGTTTACGCTATGGCTTGAATTTCATGCTTTTCTCATACAGTGGTGCATGTGTGCGATCATTTCATTTCGATGCAGCAAGAGTATTTTGTCTTGTGCTACTTTTCAGACTTGGTACCCTAACAATATGGGCGTATTCACAATTGGGTTAATGATAAAAATAAGAATATTATATGTTATAGTATATTTTTTAATATTTCAGCATAAATTTAATTTTGGTTTACAAATTCATATCAGTGGTAGCAGTAAAATGTTTTTCATATATGTAAGTATTCCAATTAATAGAAATGAATCTACTGAGATACGAACAGGGCATATTGCAGTCAGTGTCACAAAAAACACTGACTGCTTTTAAGTGGTTCAGAAAACTTCAAACCAAATCAGCTTTGGTTGTTGTTCTGCGAGCAGATGGTGCCTGCATACCCTACCGACGATTTAATTTTAGGGGTGCGGGCAGAAACAAAACAGCTGTTTGCTTTTGTTTTGTTTACATTTTTTAGGACACTTGTTTTGAATGTTATGTTTAACAAGAAAGGAAAGCTAACTTCGGGCGGAGCCTAAGTTGATATACCCTTGCAGAATATTCTGGAAATTTTATTCTCCAAAATTATTCATATGATGCATTCTTAACACTCATAAAAAATCCCAACTTTAAAAACACCAAAGTTATGGGATTTCCAATCGTTCAGTTATATGGCAGCTATAAGATATAGTCGGGCGATCCTTATGAAATTTGGTAGGTGGTAGGCCAAAAATAAAATCCATAGAAAATCCCACCGAAGTTATGGCGTTTCCGATCGTTCAGTTATATGGCAGATATAGGATATAGTCGGCCGATCCCGGCCGTTCCGACTTATATACTACCTGCAATAGAAAGACAACTTTTGGGAAAGTTTCAAGCAGATAGCTTTAAAACTGAGGGACTAGTTTGCGTAGAAACGGACGGACGGACAGACGGGCATGGCTAGATCGACTCTCCTGGTGATGCTGATCAAGAATATATATACTTTATAGGGTCGGAAATGTCTCCTTCTATGCGTTGCAAACTTTTGACTGAAATTATAATACCCTCTGCAAGGGTATAATGACGTTTGGTTGATTTATTTTTTCAAGGTTCGCAGTGTAATTTTAGTTGAGAGATGTTGTTTTTGGGAATGCATGTAATAGGCCGACTTATAACTTGCGCGCCAAATCTATTGTTTTTGTTTGGTTTGTTTTTATTATGAACTTGGCACGCGTTTTTTGTTGTTTTTGATTTTTGGTTGTCACTTGGTTTACATATGGGTGCATTAGTAAATAGCTTCATTTGCGCGCGTAAAATGTTGCCATTTTATAGAAAAGGTCAAGCATCTTTCAATTGGCTTTTGATTGTGCTTCTGTGCGGTGATTTTTACAGTGCAAAACAGATAGTAATTAAAAAAGTTAAAAAATTTAATTTAGAATACAGCGTGTTTTTTTTCAAAACGCCTGTGTTGCTGTTCCGAGTGTCCGTGGTTGTATTGAAGATTATTCGCAAGTATACAAATATTTTAATTTATCTAAATATTATTTTTTAATTATTTTTGCAATGAATAAGCATAGTGTTAGGAAAACTGGTCGGAGGTGTATTATAGAGTGCTGCAGGGGGAGTTATTGGGATTCATCAGACTCCTTCTAAGTTAAGTTATTCTTATTTCCATCAGATGATAGGAGACTTAAAAAATGGGTTGAGTTATGCCATTTGGATGACACTTTTAATAGACGAATTTCGCGTATTTGTAATAGACATTTCGAAAGTAAATATGTTGGGATAAATAGGCTTAGAAGCAATGCCGTGCCCACTTTAAATTTAACTGACAATTTCCTTTTTTCGTCCGGACAGTTCTGTTCCTTGTGAACAATTTGAATTTAATGATGATGGGGCAGAAGAACCAATTGGCATTTATGTAAACCCAATTAGGTCACAAAATTTGTCCGATAGTTTAGATGTTAGCCCTTTAAATTTTAATGCACCGAATTCAGATGCTAATTTAGTAACTCCTAGTGCAGTGCAGTTATATGTTAGCCCTTCTGATTTAGTAACTCCTAGTGTACCGCAGTTAGGAAATTGTGGTTATTGCCAAAAAAAGGGAAGAAAATGAGATGTTTTATAGAAATAAAAATTACGAGATGTTTCTTGCGATTAAAACGTATAAACAAAAAATAGAGAAATTGAGAAGAGCTAATGTTTTAATGAAACATGTTATGAAGCGCAAAAGTAAGAGAATTAGCAAGAAAAAAAGCATAAATATATTTAACATTATAAATAAATTGCCTCATGTTTCTGAAGAGGCAAAAACTATATGCAAAATGCTAATGAAAAGATCAAATTCTTACACCAGCGCATAGAAAGTAATAAACTTTTATTCATCCCGAACATATGAATATATGCGCGATGTTTTAAATTTAAAACTTCCGTCAAAACGGACGTTGTCTCGATGGGCTCTTTTTAAAAATATGACGCCAGGATTTCAACCTGATTTATTAGAAAACCTTCAGAAAATTGTTGGTGAAATGAGTGAGAAAGGTAAAAAAGAAGCAGTTATCCTTTGTGATGAAATAAAAATAAAAAAAGGACTGCAATATAATGCAGCACTCGATGAAATTCAAGGATTTGAAAACGATGACGAGAAAAGAACACGGTTTTTGGGACAGCAAGTACGCGTTTTTATGGCTAGAGTCTTATTTGAAAATTGGAAGTACGTTATTAGTTATACTGTTTCGGCTAACAGTATTAAACAAGATGCCCTCATGAGCAAAGTTGAAGCGAACATTGGAGTTTTGCAAACTTTGGGGCTTAACGTACGAGCTATAATATGCGATCAATGCTCAAATAATAGAGCAGAATTCAAAAAATGGGGAGTTAACATAAACAAGCCGAGTTTTAATGTTAACGGAAAAGAAATATTTACAATATTTGATGCCCCACATCTTATTAAATCATTGAGAAATATAATAATGAAGAACAATTTAATTACGCCTGATGGCGAAGTATCTTGGGATATATTAAAAAAATTATACCAACTTGAGTCCAGAAACTCAACGAGGCTTTTTCCCAAATTAACTGCCAAGCATATTAATCCGAATTCATTTGAAACAAGAAAGGAAAGCTAACTTCGGGCGGAGCCGAAGTTGAAATACCCTTGCAGAATATTCTGCAAATTATATTCTCCAAAATTATTCATATGATGCATTCTTAATACTCATAAAAAATCCCAACTTCCTAACTTTAAAAACACCAAAGTTATGTCATTTCCAATCGTTCAGTTATATGGCAGCTATAAGATATAGTCGGCCGATCCTTATGAAATTTGGTAGGTCGGATTGATTAGCCAAAAATAAAACCCATAGAAAATCCCAACTTCCTAACTTTAAAAACACCAAAGTTATGGCTTTTCCGATCAATCAGTTATATGGCGGCTATAGGATATAGTCGTCCGATCCTTATGAAATTTGGTAGGTCGGATTGATTAGCCAAAAATAAAACCCATAGAAAATCCCAACTTCCTAACTTTAAAAACACCAAATTTATGGCTTTTCCGATCGTTCAGTTATATGGCACCTATATGATATAGTGGCCCGATCCGGCTCGTTCCGACTTATATACTACCTGCAATAGAAATACAACTTTTGGGAAAGTTTCAAGCAGATAGCTTTAAAACTGAGGGACTAGTTTGCGTAGAAACGGACGGACAGACGGACAGACGGACAGACGGACAGACGGACAGACGGACGGACAGACGGACGGACAGACGGACAGACGGACATGGCTAGATCGACTCTCCTGGTGATGCTGATCAAGAATATATATACTTTATAGGGTCGGAAATGTCTCCTTCACTGCGTTGCAAACTTTTGACTGAAATTATAATACCCTCTGCAAGGGTATAAAAATGAAAGTTAAATATGCAACACAAATATTTAGCCACACTGTTGCGGCTGCAATCCGAACAGTGATTGATTCTGGCGGATTTGTGGAATGCCGAAATAGCGCAGAGGCTACGCCAAATTTTATAGAAACAATGAATAGCCTCTTTGATTGCCTCAATAGCCATGTTCTATATGAAAGAAAGCCATACAGATGTGGAATGCAGAAAAAAAATAACTTACAAATTTACCTCGTTGAAATGAGGAAGTATTTTGGAGAACTTAAATATCCACAATTAGTGCATTGAATTGACGGAATGATTTTGAGCATTTCATCTGCACTTGCACTAGCTGAAAGTGTGTGGAGCTCCGAAATATTTTATATATCAACCGCGAAATTGAATTAAGACCCCTTAGAAAACCTATTTTATTTAATAAGGGCTCGGGGAGCAACAAATAATAATCCAACGATGTATGAATTTAACATCATAATGTTAAAAATGCTATCGATGAAAATATTAACATCCACATCAGTATCTGGTAATTACGGCCCAGATGAAGATACAATGTTAATAAATGTTATCCAGGACTGCAGCTTAAACAAAACTTGTAATGACATAAACACCGAAGAAAGTACCGATTTCGATATGTTCTCAGATGAAGAGACGGAAATTGAGCAAATTTTTGATATTGCAACTGGAAACGAATTTGATAACAATGTTTTGCCATATTTTGCAGGCTATATATTGTTCAATTTTCTGCAAAAAAAAAAGTGCGGAGTGTGTTCTGATCTATTAAAAACAAATATAGAAACACAATGCTCCACAGAACATTTTATTATAAATAATAATTATGACTGCGCCGATAAAGGTTTAAAACTTAAAGCTCCTTCAGATTACTATTTCTCTTTTATTTTAATTTTACTGAGGAAAAACAGTAAATGGCTGACAGAAAAAATGTATACGAAAGGAAAAGCTGTACCAACAGCTGGTGCAAGAAAACTAAAAATACTCAAATAGTAATTAGTTTCTTATAAAATGTTTAATTTTTTTGTACGTATAGGAGGTATTGTTACTAACAATTATAATTAATTACTAACAACTTTTTCTGGGGCTTGGCAAACATGTGCCGTACTTCGCACACTCTATTAACTTAGTAGTAAATGATACGATTAAGGAGATTAATTTATTTACCAGAATATTTGATAAAATTAAGAGGATTGTAATGCATTTTATGATGGACCAATTGCGGAAGGCTAAAGTCGATGAGGGTACTCCTGAAGGAAAAATAAGAACATTAATTCAAAATATAGACACGCGCTGGAATTCTTGTGTAGATATGATGGAGTCCTTTTTAGGTTTAGCCAACAAAGTGGCAGTGCTGTTGATTCAAAGATCCGAACGCATTAAGGGACTACCAGAAATGCTCAGTGCCTCAGAGCTTAGCGTCTGCCGCGACTTATGTAGTCTCCTGCAGCCGTTTAAAAAAACCACGGAGCAGATAAGCGGTGAACAATACGTCACCGTTAGCATGGTGAGTCCACTCATTTCGCTGTTAGAAAACAATATAAAAATTGAAATGGAGACAAACGAAGGAAAACAAGCCAAGCAGGCTCTTGTAAGGAATTCTGAGAAAAGGTTCCAGTCGTTCCAGCAAAACAAAATTTTAGTAAAATCGTCCTTCTTAGACCCTAGGTTTAAGAAGATGTATTTGTCACCGCTTTCGGTAGAGGATGCCATTTTAGACATATCTATTGAAAACAATATGTTTACCCAAGAAAAAAATGTAGGTCATAAAGTTACAAATTTTTATAATCTAATAACTCATTAACTCGTAAAACTACAAATATTAATATTATAACATTTAAAATTTTGCTAAAAATAAGAAATACACTTGCTAATTACTTACATGGCTCTCAGCAGAGCTTTGGCAGAGGCCCGGGCCATAGAGCATAGAGTAAGAAACTTTATAGAGGTTTCATTTGCTCTGCCCAGGCCTCTGCCAAAGCTCTGCTGAGAGCCATGTTCGACGCTAACTTCTTCTAACTTCGGTTTCTCACCATTTCTAACATGTGCGAAGCACAAGCAATAGTATGAGGAGTTCTCGCACCTATCCTTAGGAATAAGAGCGAGCAGTGCAGCAATAAGAATTCACCATGGGCATCGATTCAAGCTCGATTCGAACAAATGAAAAACTCTTTTTTTTCGTTTTTCCCCTACGTGGCATCACTGGCACAGTCACTCGAGAGCGCGGGCAGAGCAAATGAAACCTCTATATAGTTTCTTACTCTATGCCTTGTTGCTGATGTTTCCTCGAAGCATAGAGTAAGAAACTATATAGAGGTTTCATTTGCTCTGCCCGGGCCTCTGCCAAAGCTCTGCTGAGAGCCATGTTCGAAGCTAACTTCTTCTAACTTCGGTTTCTCACCACTTCTAACATGTGCGAAGCACAAGCAATAGTATGGGGAATTCTCGCACCTATCCTTAGGAATAAGAGCGACCAGTGCAGCAATAAGAATTCACCATGGGCATGGATTCAGGCTCGATTCGAACATTTGCAAAACTCTCTTTTTTTCCGTTTTTCCCCTACGTGGCATCACTGGCAAAGTCACTCGAGAGCGCGGGCAGAGCAAATGACGGCTCTATACATTATTACTCTATGCTCGAAGATCGTCGGAACGCAAGTGACTCATCTGGGGTCTTGCCTCTGCTTATATAGGCCAAGTTGAGTGTGCCCAGAGTGGTCGATGACGAGAATCCCGATCTCGATAACTCGTTATCGGGTCACGAGATATAGCGATGGTAGTCGACTATCGGTATATTAATGTGACCGGTTTAATGTTTTTGGGCGCGCGTTTTGAAAGTGCGCGATTTTGGCGCGTGTTTTGAATGTGGTGTAGCGTAGGGAGAATAAAAGATAATTGTGTGTTGTTTTCGGAATGTTCTTTTATTATTTGTGACGCTGGGTCGTCACACCCCCCCCACTTCTGCCGATCCGGATTCGGGTCGTGAGGTTGTCCGAGACCACCAGTCTAGATCTTCTGTTCCCTCTTCGCCAGGTTGTCTTTAGGTGTTTGACCGCTTCTTCCACCCTTTTCATGTGATTGTCGTATCCCCGCGGTTTTGGTTCCCAGTCCTCTTCACTTTCTTCTGATGGTTTGAACCGTTTTGTTCCGGGATGGTCGAGTGAAGAGAGCCGCCGCGGGGTTACCCATTTTGTTTGTGGTCGTTGGAAATCAGCCAGCTTGTTCCTTTTTGTTCCGGTTGTTGTCCTGGGCGTGCTCATGCTTCGTTGTCCGTTGTTTGCCGTGTCGTTTCCTTGGTTGTTGTTGTTGTCATCGGTTGCCGTTTTGTTGCCGTGGTCGTTTTCCTGGTTGTTGGTGTTGTTATCGTTTGCCGTGTTGTTGCCGTGGTCGTTTCCCTGGTTGTTGGTGTCGCCATCGTTTGCCGTGTTGTTGCCGTGGTCGTTTTCCTGGTTGTTGGTGTTGTTATCGTTTGCCGTGTTGTTGCCGTGGTCGTTTCCCTGGTTGTTGGTGTTGTTATCGTTTGCCGTGTTGTTGCCGTGGTCGGTGTAGGAATTGGTTTCCTGGCTGGCGCTTGTCTGCCTACCGGAGCGGCCTGGGTTGGCTTCCTGCAACCAGCTGGACCTGCCACGTCCACGGCTCCAAGTATAATTACTCTTCGCCGCTGCTGGTTGAGCCTTTGGAGGTTCTCTCGGTACTTGGAGAGCGAGTTTTTCAGTTTGTTGTTCATTCTGAAAAATGTGCGTATAGTTTTAGCTTGTTGTTTTTTGGGTTACGCATGCTTGTTGGTCGAGGTTTTATACATGGGGTTTTAGTTCGTTTATGTAGGCTCTGTGCGTCTTCCCGGTCACCGTGTGTTTTATTGTTGCAATCACCGCTGATATGAAGCCTGTTACTTTGAATGGACCTTCGTATTTTGGTGCTAGCTTGGCCGCGAATCCGGTTGCTGCTTTTGACAAGGGGTGTTGTCTTTCCCATACTAGCTCTCCTATTTTGGGTCTCCAGTCCCTTTTCCGGAGGTTGTATGATCTAGCTTGATCCTGTGCTGCCTTTCCCATGTTTAGGTGTGCTAGTTTCCTTGTATCCATTATCCTTTCCCATCGTGCCTCCACGGTCTCCTCTATGATTCCGGATCCTTGAGTGTGTTCGGCAAACAGGCTTCCTGGTAGTCCAATTTCCCGTCCGTATAGTAGATATGCCGGGCTATACCCTGTTGATTCCGATCTGCTACTGTTGATTGCTAGTGAGATTTCAGGTAGCCAGTCGTCCCATCTTGTGTGCTCTGTTCCTGAGAATTGGGCTATCATTGTTTTTATCGTGCGGTTTGCCCTTTCTGCTGGGTTTTCCTGAGGGGTCTATGGGGCTGTTAGTTGGTGAGCAATCCCCCATTTCTGTAGTTGTGCCTTGAACTTGTTGCTTGTGAATTGTACTCCATTGTCTGAGATTAGGTTTTTGAAGTTCCAAACCGTGATATGATTTGTTCCCTGAGGACCTTTAATACGATTTCCGTGGTCGCTTTCCGGACGGCTGCTATCTCCACCCACTTCGTGAATTTATCGAACATTACTAATAACATGTTATTACCGTGGCTAGACCGTGGTAGTGGCCCCACAAAGTCTATGCACAAGGTTTCACAGGGTGTTTTCGCGATCTGTGACAACATTTTCCCAGCTGCTTGTTGTTGTGATGTCTTATACCGTTGACATGTTTCGCAGCTTCGTACGTGCTGCTGTATGTCTCTGTGCATCCCTTGCCAGTAGTATGTTGCCATTATCCGGTGTTTTGTTTTTCTGACGCCTAGGTGTCCTGCTGTTGCCTCGCTGTGGTTTTCTCGTAGTACTCGTGCTCTTTGACTCCTCGCTACGCATAGTTTCCATGGCTGTGTGTCCTCGTCGGTAGATGTCTGTATAGTTTTCCGTTGATTATCGCGTAATCTGGCCATGTTTCGGGATTTCTTTCCAAGTCTAGGAGTTTCTGTTTAATCCAGAGGTCTTCTTCGAGCTCGGCTCCGTGAGCTTCTTCTTCTGGCATTCTGGATAGTGCATCTGCAACGACATTGAGCTTTCCTTTGCGATAGCGTATTTCGAACGAGTATGGCTGCATTGCCAACGCCCATCTGGCAATCCGTCCTGACGGGCTCTCTATCGAGTGTAGCCATTTTAGCGCCTGATGATCAGTGATGACTATAAAATGATACCCTTCCAAGTACATCCTCATTTTCTGGATGCCCCAGTGGATTGCCAGGCATTCTTTTTCGGTCGCTGAGTAATTTTGCTCTGTCTTTGTGAGCTTCCGACTGGCGTATGATATTACGTGCTCGCCGTTTTCCTCCTCTTGGGTCAGGACCGCTCCTAATCCGCAGTTGCTGGCGTCAGTCTGAAGTATAAACGTTTTCCCAAAATCCGGGCAAGTCAGTACCGGTGCTTCCGTTAGTGCTTTTTTTAGGTTTTGCATTGCTTTTTCTGTCTCTTCGCTCCACTTAAACTTTGTGTCTTTTTTGACTAAGTTGTACAATGGTTGTGCCAGTTCCGTGAAGTTCGGGACGAACCTTCTGTATCATGACGCTACTCCCAGGAAGCTGTGTACTTGCTTTGTTGTTTGTGGGTTTGGCATGTCTAGGATTGCGGCTATCTTTCCCGGGTCAGTGTGTATCCCCCTCGCGCTCACAACATGGCCTAGGTAGTTTAGTTCTTCCTTGAAGAAGTGGCATTTCTCTGTGTTTATCCTCAAGTTTGCCTTTCGTAGTCTGCTCATTACTTCCTGTAGTTTTTCTAGGTGTTCCCTTTTGGTGCGCCCGATGACCACTATATCATCAAGGTATGCGAATGCAAAGGGTTCCATCTCCGGTCCAATGACTGAGTCCAGGGCTCTTTGAAATGTGGCTGGTGCTGTGTGTAGGCCGAAAGGCATTACCTTCCACTGAAACAGTCCGCGACCTGGCACGGTGAAAGCGGTGTACTGTTTGCTCCCTTTATCCATTGGTATTTGCCAGTAGCCACTTTTTAAGTCGAGTGTACTTATATACTTGGCCTCCCTTAGTTGGTTGAGTATGTGATCCATTCGGGGTACCGGGTATGCGTCTCGTTCTGAGTGCTCGTTCAGCTGCCTGTAGTCTATGCAAAGTCTCCATTCTTTGTTTTTCTTTTCTACGATTACTACTGGCGAGCTGTAAGCGGAATGTGAGGGTTCGATGAGATCCTGAGCTAGGAGTTCGTCCACTTGTTTGTTTATTATTGCTTGCATGGCCGGGTTTCGAGGGTAATACCTCTGTTTAATTGGGCGATCGTGCTTCATAAAGATCTTATGCGTGGCAATGTGGCTAACTCCCTTGATTTGACTCATCATATCCAATTCCTTTTTGAGGGTTTCTTGGATCTCTGCGTCTGTTAAATCGCCTGTCGCTAGTGATCCGATGCCGTGACTCTTCCGTGTTCTGTTTTTGTTTCTTTTTTTCTGTGCATTCTTGCTGTGATGCCTCCGCATTGTAGTGTCGCGTTACATTGTTCCAAGAAGTCTATCCCCAGTAGAAGGTCGCCGATTACTTCTTCGAGGATTAGCAGCGTCATCGTGCTTGTTTGGTTCCCGAGATGTATTGGTACTTCCAGTGCCTCTGTGACCGTTCTGTTTGTCCCGTCTGCTAGTCTAATGGCTTCGGTTACTTGCTTCCTTATCCCCTGCCTTGCAATGTTGTTGGCTAGTTTCCTGGCGATGAATCTTCTTGTTGCTCCCGTGTCTATGGCCCCGCGAACTCTTGTGTTGCCTATATTCACTTGTGCAATCAGTCGTCGGCCGTTGAAGTTTATTGCTGTTGCGGGTGTGGTGTTTGCCCTGGGTGCCCGCTCTGATCCCATGGGCCTCTGGCGTTTCCCGCCGTTTCGTTCCGTCGACAGCAATGGATTGTGCGTATTCCATCATGTCCGCATATCCAGCAATATATTCTTGGTGTGTTGTTGCACTGCTGTCCTATGTGTCCTTCTTCTTTGCACCTTGAACATCTATTATTCATGCTGAATGATCTTGTGATTCCTCGGTTCAGTGTTTGTGGTTGTTCCTGGGGTCTCCATTGGTTTCTTGTTTGTCTCCTGAAATTCGACTATCGGTATATTAATGTGACCGGTTTAATGTTTTTGGGCGCGCGTTTTGAAAGTGCGCGATTTTGGCGCGTGTTTTGAATGTGGTGTAGCGTAGGGAGAATAAAAGATAATTGTGTGTTGTTTTTGGAATGTTCTTTTATTATTTGTGACGCTGGGTCGTCACACACCCACGCTTGTTCCTTTTTGTTCCGGTTGTTGTCCTGGGCGTGAGGGCTCATGCTTCGTTGTCCGTTGTTTGCCGTGTCGTTTCCTTGGTTGTTGTTGTTGTCATCGGTTGCCGTTTTGTTGCCGTGGTCGTTTTCCTGGTTGTTGGTGTTGTTATCGTTTGCCGTGTTGTTGCCGTGGTCGTTTCCCTGGTTGTTGGTGTCGCCATCGTTTGCCGTGTTGTTGCCGTGGTCGTTTTCCTGGTTGTTGGTGTTGTTATCGTTTGCCGTGTTGTTGCCGTGGTCGTTTCCCTGGTTGTTGGTGTTGTTATCGTTTGCCGTGTTGTTGCCGTGGTCGGTGTAGGAATTGGTTTCCTGGCTGGCGCTTGTCTGCCTACCGGAGCGGCCTGGGTTGGCTTCCTGCTACCAGCTGGACCTGCCACGTCTACGGCTCCAAGTATAATTACTCTTCGCCGCTGCTGGTTGAGCCTTTGGAGGTTCTCTCGGTACTTGGAGAGCGAGTTTTTCAGTTTGTTGTTCATTCTGAAAAATGTGCGTATAGTTTTAGCTTGTTGTTTTTGGGTTACGCATGCTTGTTGGTCGAGGTTTTATACATGGGGTTTTAGTTCGTTTATGTAGGCTCTGTGCGTCTTCCCGGTCACCGTGTGTTTTATTGTTGCAATCACCGCTGATATGAAGCCTGTTACTTTGAATGGACCTTCGTATTTTGGTGCTAGCTTGGCCGCGAATCCGGTTGCTGCTTTTGACAAGGGGTGTTGTCTTTCCCATACTAGCTCTCCTATTTTGGGTCTCCAGTCCCTTTTCCGGAGGTTGTATGATCTAGCTTGATCCTGTGCTGCCTTTCCCATGTTTAGGTGTGCTAGTTTCCTTGTATCCATTATCCTTTCCCATCGTGCCTCCACGGTCTCCTCTATGATTCCGGATCCTTGAGTGTGTTCGGCAAACAGGCTTCCTGGTAGTCCAATTTCCCGTCCGTATAGTAGATATGCCGGGCTATACCCTGTTGATTCCGATCTGCTACTGTTGATTGCTAGTGAGATTTCAGGTAGCCAGTCGTCCCATCTTGTGTGCTCTGTTCCTGAGAATTGGGCTATCATTGTTTTTATCGTGCGGTTTGCCCTTTCTGCTGGGTTTTCCTGAGGGGTCTATGGGGCTGTTAGTTGGTGAGCAATCCCCCATTTCTGTAGTTGTGCCTTGAACTTGTTGCTTGTGAATTGTACTCCATTGTCTGAGATTAGGTTTTTTGAAGTTCCAAACCGTGATATGATTTGTTCCCTGAGGACCTTTAATACGATTTCCGTGGTCGCTTTCCGGACGGCTGCTATCTCCACCCACTTCGTGAATTTATCGAACATTACTAATAACATGTTATTACCGTGGCTAGACCGTGGTAGTGGCCCCACAAAGTCTATGCACAAGGTTTCACAGGGTGTTTTCGCGATCTGTGACAACATTTTCCCAGCTGCTTGTTGTTGTGATGTCTTATACCGTTGACATGTTTCGCAGCTTCGTACGTGCTGCTGTATGTCTCTGTGCATCCCTTGCCAGTAGTATGTTGCCATTATCCGGTGTTTTGTTTTTCTGACGCCTAGGTGTCCTGCTGTTGCCTCGCTGTGGTTTTCTCGTAGTACTCGTGCTCTTTGACTCCTCGCTACGCATAGTTTCCATGGCTGTGTGTCCTCGTCTGCAGCCCATGACGGTAGATGTCTGTATAGTTTTCCGTTGATTATCGCGTAATCTGGCCATGTTTCGGGATTTTTTTTCCAAGTCTAGGAGTTTTTGTTTAAGCCAGATGTTTTCTTTGACCTCGGCTCCGTGAGCTTCTTCTTCTGGCATTCTATATAGTGCGTCCGCAACGACATTGAGCTTTCCTTTGCGATAGCGTATTTCGAACGAG